GACCTCTATGAACCTGTATCCTTATTTGTGAAATGGATGTAGAAATGCCTAGTGAAGAGGACAACTGTACAAGTGCCAGGCGTTTAGCAACTGTTCAGCAATCATTTATCAGAGTCTAATAAGGGCTAAAAGCCACCCCTCCAGGCAGGTCCCAGACCCGGTTTTCTACCTCCCCTGTCCCCCTTTCCCTCCTGCCATCCTCAGATGACAAATAACAACAACACCAACATCCTCAGAGAGGCAGCGCCCCCCAACCACCCAATGCTTTTAAGGCCCTAGCACCCCTGCCTTGCTGAGTTGGCTTGCAGGAAGCTGGCACGCCGCGGTCGGAGGGGCGCATAGGGACCTGCGCGCCCACTGGCCCGGGTGAGGAGAGGCTCACCAGGGGGCGCTCCAGAAGGTCTGTCAGGTATTTGGAACCATAGACTGAAGCCAAGTGCAGCCAGGCCCCCAACGGGTCGCCCGCTTCAGCGGCGCCTCTAGCGGCTGGGGACCGCGGTTCACGCTGACGCGCCTCCCACGCGCGGGCTTCCAAGCTGGGCGCGCCCGGGCCCGGGCCCACGCTGAGGGCGGGGCAAGCCGGGGGGCCTTTGTGTTCAAACCACCCAATGGGCGGCGGCGGTGGGCGGTGACGGCGGGCGGGGCCTACCCAATGGGCCGCGGCCTGTCAGCGTTGACTGACAGGCGCACACATACACACTCGGCCACGCGCGCGCCGCCCGGCCCCACTCACGCCTCGCGGGCCCCATTGTCCGCCGCCCAAGCTCCGCGCCGCTCGCAGCCACCCGTGCGCCAGCCCAGCCCAGCCCGCCTCGGCCCGGTGCGGAGCGCCGCTTGCGTATTCCAGCCCCGGAAGGGGCGCTCCGGGCCTTGGACGCCCCCAGCGCTCAGGGAAGAGCCGCGCAGCAGGTAACGGGGCGCCAGCCGGGAGTCTCCGGCAGCAGACGCTCGGGACGAGGGTGCTGGGCCGGCGCGCGCCCGCCTTCCGCGGGCTTCGGGCCCAGCCTCACCCTGGGGTCATCGCCGGGCCGCTCCGACCAGGGCCGACCTGCCCGGGGCCTGGCTTTTCCTCCCAGGCCAGGCCGAGCCAGGCTCCAACCCCGCCGGGCGCACGCCCCCGGGGCCGGGCGGGGAGGGCCAAGCCGTGCCCAGGCCAGGCACCCTGACTCATCTCGCGGCCTTGCACCCGCCCTCAGATCCCGCGGCCCCACTGGTCAGCCCAGGGGGCTGACGTCTCCAGGCGGGACTTCCCCGGCAGTGCTTCCCGGGAGGCGAGCAATGAAGCCCTGGCTACCCCAACAGGCCCTGGGCAGTGCCTACATCTTGGGTGCCAAGCAGGCAGTTCCAGGAACAGGCAGTTCTCTGCCGCTGTGGCCTGTCTGGGCTTCGGGGTCAGGGCGGCAGGAGGAAGGTCCATTTTGTTCCCTTCAAAAAAAAAAAAAAAAAAATCAAGCAGGCGGGGGAGTAGGCTCTGTGACTTGGAGCAGAGAGCCAGCTGGCATGCCTTTGGTAAAAACCTCAGCCTCAGCCCCTAGGGAATGAAAGGACTGGGAAGTTCACACTTGCAGGTTTTGCAGGTCCCATGAGGAAATGTGTGGAAATGTCACGTGGGGAATATTCAGGATCTAGGTTGAAGCTGAAGATTGGCTGGATACCACGCCTGTGATAGACACATGTCACAGCGGGATGGGCAAAGTGGAGCTGAGGAGAGGATGGAGTCCAGCTCAGAAGTGGGGGGGATTTTGTCCCCCACCCAGTGGTTTTATGTGAGAGTGTCTTGATTGGGAGGAGTCGTCTCTGACATGCAAAGTATTTGAGATGCTGACGGCTTCCTTGTTGTGGAGACTGGGGCCTTTGCTCCTTTCTGTTTTGCCATACCAGCACCCCGAGGCAAAGACTAAGAGGCTTCTGCGGGAGGGTGGAGGTGGGTGCTGACAGTTGTCAGGGGCCCACACACCTCTTCCGGAAACTTCAAAGCAGCCCTTGTACAGTATAAACGCTTCTCTGTGCCCCAGGGGAAGATGGGATCCACTTGAGCAGGGCAGGGGTTGAGAGGAACAGGCATGGGTGGGCATCTGGAAGTGGGTTTGTTTTTTTTGGGGGTGTGTGTATTGGGAGTAGGAGTCCTCATGGTGCAACGGTGAAGCTCTCAGCTGCTAACTGAAAGGTTGGTAGCTCAAATCCACCCAGTGGTTCCACAAGAGGAAGGCCTGGAGGTCTGCTTCCATGAGGATTCCAGCCTAGAAAACCTCAGAGCAGTTTCTAGCCTGTGACACGGCGGTGCTAGGAGCTGGGATTGTCGGGACAGCACCTAACAACAACAGCAGTCGGGGTGGAGTTACCGTATAAGGAATGGAATATGGAAAAGGACCAAGGCCAGCTTCCAGCTGCTGTGGCCACTACTGCCTGTGTCCAGTCCCTTTATCAACACTGGTGGAACCCAGAGACAGGTGCCAGGTGGGCATCCTACCTGGGAAGATGCCTGTTAAGACCAGGACATGCAGCTACTTGTTTTTCAGACTTCTAGATTTCTGGACTAACCAGACCTTCTGGTTTCTGTAGTCTAGCTTGGGATCTGTTAGAGTCTGTGCCTACCACACCACCCAGCAAACTCATCATGCAAGTACCAGCCGGGACTGTCGGAAGTGGTAAACAGTCCCAAATACCAGGAGCTCTCGAATGGGTCTGGGCTGCAATCATGACTTTGGAACATGGGCAGGCAGAGGTGCTAAGAGGAGACCCGCTGTGTTTACCATCTGAGGTTATGAATCTGGGTTTCTGGAGTTGGAGGCTCATTAGTGACTCTCCCACGTGTCCGGAGAACACCGCCTTCTTCCGGATCTCTTCATTTTGGCCTCCTTGCTGTCCTCCTTGTGGGTCTCAGAGCCTTGATTCCATCCTGTTGGTGATGGGCAGGCGGGCTGGGACTGCCTGTAATTTCACACTCGCTGCTCTGCCTCCCTGTCTGGTTAGTTTGTTAACAATTATTTGTTTTGTAGCTACTCTGGATGCAGCCCTTGTGAGCATATTCCGGGTTGTAAAGACTCTAGTAAGGAGCTCTGGTGGCTTAGTGGATAAGGCATTTGGCTGCTAACCAGAAGGTCAATGGTTCAAACCCACCAGCCGCTCCAAGGAAGGAAGATGGGGCAATCTACTTTTGTAAAGATTTGCAGCCTCAGAAACGCAGTGGGGGTTGCTGTGAGTCAGAATTGACTCCAGGACAGCGGAAAGGCCCAGGCACTGCTCCCCGTCAGGCCTGGCTCTGTCACTGACAGCCTGCATCATCTGCACGCCCCAGGCTCCTCCCTTGTAAAATGGGAGTGACAATACCTACCTCACTTGTGAGGCTCAGAAATGAGGTGTGTAAGGAGCTTGGTACCTAGGAGGCGCTTGACAAAGTAGCCTGTCATCGTCCTGAAATCAAGATCCACAGATAGTGCAGTATGGTATACAGTGGAATATACGGTATAACACACAGTACTATATACAAGGTGATATATGGTATAATATACAGGCACCGTCAGAACATGGGCAGTATTTATGAAGGAAAGGTTGTAGGCAGTTAAGGTTTGCTTGGGGCCCTGCGTCACTGTTGTGGTTACCTAGTGTCGCTCTGACAGGAATATACCACAGATTGTGATGCTTTAACAAACGGGTTTATTCTCTTACAGTTTGGAGGGTTTAAGTCTGAGTTCAAAGTGCCAGGCTCTAGAAGCTCGACCTTGGTTTTCAGCTCTGCCTCCTGCTCCCAGCCCACTGAAGCAAGAGGCTATTCTTCACTCAGCCAGCTGCTGGCTGCTGAGGCTGACAAGCCCAAGGTCGACAAGTAAAAAGGCACAGGCCCAATGTTACCAAACCACATGACAGGTCATTAATTCAAGTCCAGAAAAAGTCCCAAGGTCGGCAAGGCAATATGGCAGACTGTTAAGCAACAACTCAGCTATGTATGGGGTTCAGGCGTGCCATACACTGGAGACCATTCCCAAAGCAGCTGCCTATATATGGGAAGCAGACCACATCCCTGAAGCAGCTACCCAGCTGCTTGTGGTAGATCCCACCATGGAGTTGATTGCCAGTCTCATCATGGGGAATAACTACTACCAGCTGCCCAGCCACTCACCCAGGCCCAGCCGGGTTGACACACAACCTTAACCACCAGAGTCAGTGCGTATGGATGTGCAGGAAGGAAAGGAAGGTGCAGCCCACTAAGAGAAGCAGCGGGAGTGAACACAGATGCAGCTGGGGGAGAGGACAGGGTGGTGGGGCTGCTGGACTGGGGGTCCATGCAGGTGGCCCCTGTCAATGTCACTCATTAAGCCTTCATAGGGAGCCTGTTCCGTGCCAGGGTCTCTGCCTGAGTATCAAAGGAATAGAGTCAAAGGAGGCCCAGTTCTCGCTCCCAAGAAGCTCAGAGCCAAGGAGCACAAAGACAAGTCAAGCAAAAGAGACAAAAGCTTGTAGCAATCGCCCTGAAAGAGGTGCTCGTCACTGTTTACCGCCTCCAACTCGCCACGACCCCAAGCACAGTGGGACCAGAAGCGGCCGGATCCTGTGCCGTCCTGTGACTGCTTGTGGATCGGACCCCTGTGATCCATGGGGTCTTCACTGACCCCAGGCCTGTCTCCCTCCACTGAAACCTTCTCAGCATCCTAGCCGCATGCAGGCCTCCAGGGACAGACCGGTGGCTGGGAATCAAACCAGGGTTCCCACATGGAAGGCGAGAATGTCCCACTGAACCACTTTCCTCACCAAAGAGCTCACACGGTGCTAACAAGCCCCGAGGCGGGCAGGGAAGGCAGGCTGCAGCAGGGAGGGCAGTGCTGGACGAGGCTTGATAAAGGGCCCGCCGCACCCCCGGCTCAGGAGCTGTTCTGCTTGGATGAGTAGGGGTGACCCATTCTCCTCTGCAAGATAGCTCCTCCACCTCCCCAGCTCCGAGAAAGGGCTGGAGAACAGCCCGAGCCTCACGTGTTGCTCTCCTTCCTCTCCCCAAGACGTCGGTGGAAGGATCCACATTGGGCCTCATCATGTCTCGGCGAAGCCAGCGCCTCACGCGATACTCCCAGGGGGACGATGACGCGGGCAGCAGCAGCAGCGGTGGGAGCTCCATCACGGGGAGCCAGAGCACCCTGTTTAAAGACAGTCCTCTCAGGTACGAGAGACCCCCGCAGACCCGGGCAGCCCAGCCCCTGTAGACTAGGCAGCGTCACTGCATGACCTCTTCCTGCAGTGGAATCTTGGGGGCACAGATGAGATGAGGTGCCAGTGTGGGCTCAGGGGCGCCCTTCCTTTATTCACACCTAGCGAGGCCCCAGGACCAGTGCGTTTCTTCTTCCTCCTACTGTCAGCCAGGGCTGCCCTCCTGTGCAGAGAACAGGAAGTGGGGAGGCTAGCTTCAGGCACAAGCCAGGCCGGAAACCCTGAGAGGCAAGCTGACCCGCTAAGTGCCCCATCTGCTGCGGATGGGCGTGCCCGTCTGACCAGGCCCCAGGCCCATGTGTCTCAGTGGCGGGGGGCCTCAGCAGCTGGCCAGTGAAGGTCTGAGGAGAGGAGCAAGTCGGCGGGGCACTGCCTCCTCGTCCTGTCCCTCTGGCGGACGTGGGGCCCAGGTCACAGCCTGTGGCTTTGCTTGCTCTGGGAGGCAGGTCAGATGTGTCTTGGTCTTCAGAGGGCTGTAGAAATTACTACTCCATTAAGAAGCAGAGGGGAAATGCATTGACCCGTGTCACTTTAGTTTTGTGTATTTCACTGTATATAAATTATATTTCAATAAAATGTATTAAGAAAAAAAAAAAAAAAGCAGCAGCAGCATAGGGGAAAACTGGCTTTGGGATTAGAGAGACCAGCGTTTGAATCTTGGTTCCCTCCTGTGCTGTTAATCATGCCTAGTTTCTTATGAGGTTTAGAGACAGCAGCAGAAAATACACCTGCACTTAGCAGACCATCAGGAACCAATGGTCGCTGCTGGTTGCCTGGCAACCAGTGCATTGTTGAATTTTCTGTAGTGTTTTCGCCAGCAGATCGCTAAGTGTCACAAAGTGCAGTAACTCATGGTGTCATTCCCCACCCAGGGCTGAGGTTATGTGGCCTCACCCTTCTTGGCCCCACCTCCCTACCTCCCACCATCCCCCACCACCACCACCCAGTGGCTTCCTGCAGCTCCTCCCCTCTCCCTTAGCCCAGGCAGACTCTCTTCTCTGCCCAATGGCTAGCCAGAGTGGCGGTGGGGTAGAGTGAGGGGACGTTGATGAGTTAGGACACTGGGTGATGGTTGATAGTGACAGCCCTTCCCGCTGCTGCAGCAACACCACCATGGGCCCTGGGGTCATCTTCGTGTCACCACCACCCCCACCACCCCCACCCAGTGACGGTATCAGGGTACAGTCTAAACCTTTTAGTAATACCACTTGTCCCCACTGGACTCCCGGCCTGGTCCCTTCCCCTCCTTATGGTCCACCTCCCACAGGACCTTGAAGAAGAAATCCAGCAACGTAAAGCGTCTCTCCCCAGCACCACAGCTGGCCCCTCCTTCTGACGCACACACCTCCTACTACAGCGAGTCTGTGGTCAGAGAGTCCTACATAGGCAGCCCCCGGGCCGCCTCCCTGGCCAGGACCGCCCTCCTCGACAGGAGCTCCCTCCTGGACGACCAGCTACACAGCGACCCCTACTGGAGTGAGTGTCTCAAGTCTTTTTCCTGGGGCCCCAAAACCAAACTCACTGCCATGGAGTGGGTTCCAACGCATAGTGACCTCCGCTGGGTTTCCGAGGCTATGAACCTTTACGGAAGAGATGACCCCATCTTCCTTCCCTGGAGCGGCTGATGAGTTTGAGCTGCTGACCTTCTGGTTGGCAACCAAATGCCTTATCCACTACGCCATTAGAGCTCCCTCCTTTAAACCCAAGGTGGTGCTCAGTTTGCTCTCTTTTGGCTGCTAACCAAAAGGTTGATGGTTCAAAGCACTGCAGAGGAAAGGCCTGGTGACCTGTTTTCCACAAATATTACAAGAAGGCCTTGTGCATCTCAGTTCTCCTCTGTAACACCTGGGAGTGTCAGGAGCTGGAATTGGCTGGATGGCAGCGGGCTTGGTGGTTTTTCTTGGTTGCCTTTTCTTTCTCTGGGGAGTAAGGGTCAAATTTTCCCACTGAGGGCTTTCCTAACCCCTTCTGGGCCAGAGGGGGGGCTCCCCATCTTCAGACACCCTTGAAAGAGTGGTCGAGTCTGCTCACCTCCAAGACCCCTGTAGATGACAAAGCAGTAACAGGGCCACTCTAAGCCCCAGAGACAGAGGGGAGGCCCCTGTCCCAACTCACCCTTGAGGGGCCTGGAGACCCTGGGAGGTCCTCGGGGATCCCTGCCTCAGAGCATCTCTGCACCAGACCCGGTTTCACGGGGGCTCTTCCCTCCCCAGGTGAGGATCTGCGGGTGAGGAGGAGGAGGGGCACTGGTGGGACCGAGAGCAGCAGGGTCAACGGGCTGATGGAGAACAAGAGCTCCGAGGACTTCCTTGCCTCCTCCTCGGGCTACTCTTCTGAGGACGATTACATAGGTGGGCGGTGCTTCTTCTGAGCTCCCCTCTCTCCTCCCCCCACCCCCAGCCTCTGGTGAGGCTCCCACAGACTCCATGACTGCTGGCGAGGTCGTGGGAAGCCGTGCTGGTGATCACCTCGCAGACTGGCCGGGGCCTCCCTCCCTTGTCCACCAAGGTGTCCTGAACCTGGGCCATGGTAGCCCTCAGCACTGTGCTGTGACTGTGTGGTCACTTACTGCACCCACACCCACCCACACACACAAGTCTGTGGGTGACCTGAGGTCAACACCATTGTGCGTTCACACATTTAGAGCCTTTCAACATGGAGCTTCACATACGGTAAGTGCCTGATGGTCATTGCTAAATGAATGAAGATCGCTTTGCCTGGTTCTAGGTCATGGTTTGAGGGTCATCGTGAGTAGGGGTGTACAGTAAGGAGCTCCAGTGGGGTATAAGACACTGAGAAACCGTTCCCTCCCGCCGCAAACACTCCCTGCCCTGGTGCCCCGGGCCAGGCCTGTGGGAAGCCAACACGTGGTCTCAGAGCAGAAGGGAGAAGGTGATTGACAGCCTCCACATCCCAGGTCTCCTAAAAGGGAGGGCAAGCTGAGCTGGCTTCCTCTCCTCCTACCTGCAGGCTACTCGGCGGAGCTGGACCAGCGGAGCTCAGGTTCACGGCTGAGGAACGCGGTCTCTCGGGCAGGCTCTTTTCTCTGGGTGGTGCTCACTTCTCCAGGTGGGTGCCGGCTCTTGGTGGCTGTTCTCTATGTGGCCGTTCCATCTCTGTGCCGCGGGCACCCAGCCCTCTCGAGAGACGGCAGGACCGTTGAGAAGCTCTGGACTGAATACGTCGTCACTGAGGGCCTCATGAGGGCCCTGGCCTGGAAGGGGAGGGGCAACTGCAGAGCGGGACAGGTGGGGTCAGAGGGACTGGGTCTCACGGGGCAGGATAGAGGTGTGCCGGCAGGTCGGCGTTAGAGCGCGGCGGGGAGGACCACAGGAGGAGAGAGGCGGCAGGGCATGGGATGGTGACTGACCTGCGCTGTCACTTTTCAGGCAGACTCTTTGGGCTTCTCTACTGGTGGGTTGGCACCACCTGGTACCGCCTGACCACAGCCGCCTCCCTCCTGGACGTGTTCGTTTTAACCAGGTTAGTGAGACTCCAGCCCTGACAGAACCAGCCAGCCGCTGGACAGCAGAGACCAATGCAATTTCCAGACCTGTGTATGGGTTTCTCTTGTTGGTTCTTTCCTAACTGACTTAGAGCTCTGAGTAGTGGGTGCCCCGGGGCCCATCCCCCTCCCAGCCCAGCACAGATTCAGGTCACTCCTGTCCCTCTGAGTGCCCTCTAGGCTCGACTCTGGGCACACGGGGTGGTTTCTGCTTGGGCACTTCCTCCCGAACCTCTCACCAGCCCAACCACTTCCTGCTTCTTAAACAAACCGGTGGCCTTGCCCCTGCTGGTTAGGCCTTAGGCTCCAGCTGAGAAGTGGGGTTCCCTGAAAATTAAACTTCCTCTTGGCCTGTGGCCCCGTGGACCCCCATTCAGAAGGCACTGCCTGAGGCTGTGGGTTTGCCCCTTGTTCCTAAACCAGCAGGATTTGGGAGCCTGCCCCTTGGGCAGGGAAGAAAGGACTAAGTCACAAAGTCAGGGCACCAGCCATGCTGAGAAGAGGCCCAAGAATGCATTTGTGTCAAGAACAAAAAAAAATCCTCCCTTTTTTGAGAAGAAACTAAGTTCATTTAAGCAGTTACTTTTTCAGTATATCAGTTTTTTAAAAATAGACTTCCTTGCTTGAAAAACAGTGAAGCCAGTCAATTCCAACACATGGTGACCCCACGTGTGTCAGAGAACTGTGCTCAATCGTGTTTTCAGTGGCTGACTTGCTAGAAATAGATTGCCAGCCCCTTCTTCCAAGGCACCCCAGGGTGAACTCAACCTGCCAACCCTTTAGTTAACAGCCAAGTGCACTGGCCGTCTATACCTCTCAGGGGCTCCGTGTTGGCTTGCATGGAGGACCTCTGTATGTGAAAGTGGTAGGTTTTTCGGAGGTCATGTATTATTTTTAATAACCTCTTAAAACTCAGAGCCAAGACTGCCCGTCACTTCGAGTCCTGCAGGTGGAGCTCTGGAGTGTCCGCCGTGGCCCCGGTGTGATGAGGGGTTCACGGACATCCTTCAGCTCTGGGTGGGCATGAAGGGAGGCATCCCCAGGACCCCTGCGGGGCTGTGGCAGCCCTCAGTCTTGTCACCCCGTCTCTGCTGTTCTCCCCTCCACGTGGTCTAGGCGTGTCTCGTCCCTGAGGACGTTCCTCTGGTTCCTCTTGCTGCTGCTGCTCCTCACCTGCCTGACTTACGGTGAGATTCCAGAGCCTGGGTCACCGCAGCCTCAGGTGGCGGGGAGAGGCAGAGGGGGCTGGTCGGCGGCCTGCTGGGATGTGAGCAGAAGTGGGACAGCCCGAGTGATCAAGAAAGGGGCGGGAGGAGAAACGGGACAGGAAGCTGGACAGATGGGGCAGAAGGTACACATCCCTGATGGCTCCGCCTCTGGGCCTCCTGACTGCGACTGCGCGCTCCCAGGTGCCCGGGGAGGAAGCGGCCTGCCCAGGCCCCTGCTCTTGTCCTGGGTGTGGGGGCCACACAGGGTACATTTGCTCATCCTTCGTGCCACTTGGGCAGACGCACATCCTAGTACAGGAAGGCTTGGCGGGGAAAGCAAGGACCCTGGCAGCATTCTCACTGGCAGTCATTGTCCCACATTCCAAAGCAGGACATGGTCTACTTGAGAGCATGCGAAGCACGTAGCCGTCTTAGAATAACAGCAGTGACGTGAGAAAGAGGAGTAGGCTCGTGGGCACTGAGATGCCAGTTATTGCCCGGGGTCTTGCCGTTCCCGTCTCTCATTGGGCTTCCACGCTTCTTACCGAGTTACATCATCACCTTGATGTTGACTCTGTATTTGGCCTTCATATGACCACTTCACCTGAGTCTTCCCACCTGTCTCTATGGGCCACCTGCTCCGTGTCCATGATGGTGGTGGCAGGTGCCATCAAGTCGGCCGTGACTCATCGCGACCCTGTGTACCACAAAACAGAACCCTGACTGCCCTGTCCCGCACCAGCCTCGCAGTCCTTGCTGTGACACCAGCATATAATGAGAGACCATACTTTTTTTTAATGAGCTGATGGGTTTTGTGCCTATTCAATGACTTCTTTTATTACTAGCAAAATAGAACTTTGTCCAAGTGTTGGTTTCCTTTCTGTGTTTCCTGTTACAAGAGCAGCTTGTTCCTGTCCGGTGGAAACTGGGCATCACCCTTGAAATAATAACAGTTCTTTAGGCAGAGAGGTATACATCAGAGTCACCCAAGGAGCTTTTAAAACACATCACTGTCTGGCCCTGCCCTCCAGAGAGTGAGCCCAATGGTCTGGGTGGACCCCTGCACAGATGGGTTTTCGGAGCTCCCCAGGTGACTCGGATGGGCTGCCATGGCTGAGTGTCGCTGAAGTAGTACACACTTCCCCACAGCCTGAGGGGTTGGTAGAGCCCTCATTATTGTCATATCACGTGGAGGAACATGTAGAAAGTCTGAGTGACTTGCAGGTAGGATGTGTCAGCAGGTAGTCAGGCCGCACCTGCTCCCAGGTCCTGGTCTGAGTAGAGATGTGGATAATCACCAGGGTCTCCCTTTCTCGTCTTGTCTTCAGTAATGATGAGGAAAAGTCTCTATGGTCTCGTCCCCTTGAGATGCCACAGCATCCGGGCAGAGACCTCTCACTAGCTGGCTTTTCCAGTCTGTGTGTCTGTGTGTGTCTCCCCCTCGCTCCACAGAGTTCAGGAGCAAATGCATCACACACCCACACACCCACTGCCGTCCAGTTGATTAGCTAAGCTCTTGGTTAGCAGCCGAGTGTTCACCCGCTGCACCATCAGGGCTCCATACGTCATACACCAAAAAAAAAAAAAACAAACACCTGATTGCCATTGAGTCAATTCTGACTCATAGTGACCCCTACAGGACAGGGTAGAGTGGCTGCATTAGTTTCACGAGACTGTAAATCTTCATGGAAGCAAACTGCCTCATCTTTCTCCCATGGAGTGGGTAGCAGGTTTGAACCACCAACCTTTTGATTAATGGCCCGATGCTTTTACCACTGTGCCACCAGAGCTCCTTACGTCACACACACAGGGCCCTAATCCAGAAGCAAGCATCTCTGTGTGGCCACAGCCCGGTGCTCCTGCTCTTGGGCCG